CAAATGGCAATTATAACAAATCGATTATTTTTACAAATTCAATGTTTTTCTCTTGATTGTCTTTTACGAATTTGTCTTAATATGGATCAATGGTTAAATACATGTGTAGCAATAGAACGTGTTGTTACAATAATAAAAGCTACCAATTTTCATAAGAAAATAAGTAAACAAATAGCTAAAATAGTTACAGTTATTCTTGTAATATTTACTCTCTGTACAAATATTTATGATCCATTCTATCGATATTTAATTGATGAAGATAATGAAGATGAGAAACAAATATGGTGTATTGCTACTTATCCATCTTCTTTACAAACATTTAGTTCTGTTATGCATACATTTCACTTTTTGGCTCCATTTATAATTAATCTAATATCAGCTATTATTCTCATAACAAAAAGATCTCGTCAACAGTCAAATCTTCGAACGCATGAAAATTATAAACAAATTTTAAAACAACAAATTCAACAATATAGACATTTATTTACTACTCCTGTTCTTTTAGTTCTTCTTGGATTACCACGTTTAATCATTTTATTTGTATCAAAATGTATGAAATCAACAAATGATGCATGGCTATTTCTTGTTGGATATTTCATTTCATTTATTCTACCTATGCTTACATTTGTTGTATTTATATTACCATCACAATTTTATAGAGAACAATTTCATAAAACTATCGTCAATTATCGAATTGCTCTAGAACGACGTTTGAATTATATGATATAGAAGTAATTGAAATAATTTTTATCTAAAATATTTATAAGTCTGATTATATTTGTGTTTTTTTTCTTCTTATTAAGGCTATTGAAGATTTTTCTTATCATTGTTACACGATATAGTGTCATTGAGTGTTTTAGTATCGTTACTATGTATTCAAAATTTTACGAAACACAAGTCTTTGAAATCTAAAAATATGGGTGTCGACTTAGCGAATCCTTATCTTATTGAGATAATCAGCTTCGAGTCACATTTTTCCGACCTTACCTTTATGCATCACTTGAAACACTTATTTAAAAATTTGTATCATATCTCAATTAACAAGCAAAAAACCTATTGTATAGTAATTACATCTAACTTCTGCTATCACATAAAATGAGGATCAAATGAATAGGAAACAATTTAAAATAATTTCTAATTGTTTGCTTTGCTTATAATTATGTATTGAATTTGTTTCATTGCTTTATTTCTACTTTATTGTGTTTGTCTTTTGAATCGAATGATAAAGGTTGCAATAGAATCAAGCTTATTCAATTCGTTATTTGTGTTGTTCAGTTAGTTTCATATTTCAATTGATAAATATCATTAAGATGTCATCGTAGGATGATAATCAATAAAAGAAGTAATATTTTCTTTTTAAATCATAACTTAAATAGCATTCTGTAATACGGAAGGTCTTGAGGATGTAGGTGTGAGTAGAAAGAGACAATACTCACACCCACACCCCAAGTGTATGCAACAAGACAAATAGTCAAAATATTGAGAGTGCACATTTTT